GGTATTAGATAATTAATAAACATACATAAACATATTTCTGTAAATAAATACATATTTTGATACATAAACACCCTGAAACTATAAAAATAATATATTTATCATACAATACTTTTCTAGTAGTGGGGATCGAACCCACACCCACTGGCGCAGGAGACAAGTCCACCATCCACTACGACATTCGGGCCGTATTGATGGAATAAAAGGTATTTATAAATTGTGTAATGTCTTTTCCTGGAGTTGGAATGAAATGATCACTCAATGTCATCGTTGGAGTCAAACTTTAGACCAGCTTGCGGCACATTGGCCTCTGTCTCAACTCTAATTGACAACGCGAATTTTAAGTCATGTTTTTCATTATTGAATGATTGTACAAATTTCCAAGTACAGGGGGAAGTTGTGCAAACTTTGTTTGCGAAAGAAATCCACGACAGAGTTCCCCAACAAAAATGTGCGACGAGATTAGAATTTTAATCCCGAAATCTGTTTTAGTTTCGTACGGAATGTCTTCGAATTCGTTAACAAGTTCGAATTGGATAAACTTCATCAAGGCGCTGCCGTGAGATCGAGGCCGATACTTTGTTGAGACTTAATTTACGTTTCGTCTCTATCTGGTTTATCATTTTTATCACATTTGTTTCCTTGCAAACATTTCGATGTTTCGCGAGTTGATTGGGGTTTTTGGCATCGTTCGAAATCTGTGCTAATGCGAACATTCTTATGCATGTTATTTCGAATTTCAGCAGTCACTAATCGTCAGACTGTCGAAGGTGGCCAGTGATGGGAATGCGATCTCCAGTCCGAATCTTTGTCTCTCATTTACCCTAAAAGTTTTCTATTATGTGGTTTATACAAATGCAGCAGACATGATCGCTCATTGACTGGGCGCTGGTTTTATTCAAGGTATTTGAACTACCTGAGTTCAGATCCAGTTAATAATAATTATTAATTAAAGTGCTTACGTATCATGTCCTAAGCGCAGGGTTAATGGGGAACATCATAAGGAAACCTGCGTCTCTGCGGAATAATAAATATAAGAAATACTTCGAAGATAATAAAAAAAAGAAATACTTCGAAGATATGTGAAGTTTGCCAGCGCATGCTCCGCCTTGCCCATTAGTGGGAAATGAATGTAGAAGTCACCTTTTCCTAGTGTCATTGTGACATTTTGTCTGTTATGTTTAAGCACCTTAAAAAATAGGCATCACTAGCAATAGATGTGTGCCTATTAGGGTTAAAGACATTTGAGGACTCCGTGGCTTCGGCGTCGGGGGTCGTGGGTTCGATTCCCACACGGGACAACTGATAGTTGTTTCGCATGTTCGCATGTTTCGCAAAGTTGTTTCTGGGAGTTTGCCCCCGTGCAATTTTTGTTTGTAAAACGTCATTACAAAACAGGATAATGTTATCCTAAATTAATTTAATAGAGAAAGAAGAGATTTAGAGAGAAAATTAATTTATATTTTGATTTCATTATCAGAACAATATTTTAGGAAAACTTGATACTTTTTTATTATTCTGATAATGAAATTATCAATCTGGTCTGGAGGTTAGTGAAATGTCTAGCTGAAAATTTTATCTAATAATCTTTATATACATAATTCTTCTGACACGTACAGAAGAAGTATGTCATTGAACTTCTCCTAAATAGCTGAACCGATTTTGTTTTTTATTGTGTGTGTTCAGGTCGAGTCGAGAATGATTTATATTCACATTTTTTAAGATATCGGATTTAAGTAGCGTGTACAGTACAACGTCTGTTCGGTCCGCTAGTAGTATATAAATATTAATATTATTATATGGCATTCGATTTGGTAGGCTATTCAATAAAAGTTCTCGCGTTGGAAGCAAATTTGGGAATTGTTTACTTCAGCATAAATGTCATGGCACCATTTGGTCGCGTTTAAACCACCTGTGGCAGTCCTGGAGACAGGGCGTTGAACTTTTCACCAAGGGTTTGCGTTGTCTATATCGAACCGAGATGTTAATAAAACTTTTAACACGGCCCCTCGAAAGTTTCAGCGTCTTTAAAACCACCTTCTTCTTCTTGTGGGTGCCCTATACTATCGGATGTCGGCGACCACCACGCGGAAATCTTCCCCATTCTGCGCCAACCTACAAAGACTGACGGCGTCCTTGATGTCTGTCCGTTTTTGCAAATTGCCACTCCATGTTATTCGTCTTCTTCGTCTTCCCCGTTCTCCTTCTATTGTTCCTTCAATTATATTTTTCCGTATGTTATATTTTTCATGTATATGTATATGTCCAAAATATAATGAAACGACCAGTGTATCTAAACCAGCACTGACATTCGCCAACGAAAGGTGAACTGTTTTCTATAAATACTACGACAACTTTAATGCACCGCAGTATGTGTTGATCAGGTAAAAAAAGAAAGAAATATATTGACATCAGACCGGCTTAATTATGGAGGTAAATCACGGCAGTCTGTCCTGTGACCATGGACTCTTTTAAAAATACGAAATGACGGATATTTTCATTTTAATTGCATTTTTGATTCCCTTATGTAAAAAAAAAACCATGAAATCCTTATAACAGTTTTAATTGAGCATAAAAACATTATTTAGGATATGTTCTTCCGAATGAAGTGTTAGAGATATTCGCGTTTATTATTATAGCGTTGGTTTCGTCTCAATTTAGGTCGTTTACATTTACCGCGATCGTTACAAAGCGCTTTAGACTGTCTATACAAAGCCGCTTGTGGTTAGCATAGCAAACTTTGTAAGCTCTTTGATACAAAGACCTCCTTAGCTAGCCGTATATTAGTATGTATGGTACAGTGTACAAGGCGCTCTTCGACGTAACTTTTTAATCAATGTGACCAAGATCAAGTATGAAACTGGATCAGTATATTAACTAAAAATCTTACCACCAGGTTAATATAATTTTGTTCTTATACCGCATTAGAGACAAGACGAATAAAATTTGATACTAATCGAGGAAATGCAGCTAGCGTTCTTAGCACTATGCGGCATGGGTTAGGTTTATTAGATAATATGTTATTTAGACAGAATTAATGTTGTAAATGTTGGATAAATAAATTGAATTCCGTTAAAAATAAAATGTACTGTTATATACGTTATGTTTAGATTCATAAAAGTCGTAAGTCATAAGTCCGGATTCGTGGCGCTGAAGTGTTTTGTAAAGTTATTTTTTACAAACCTTCGCTATGTATATAGCTACGAAGAGTTATATATTTTTAGCTCTTCATGGCTTTCAAGAGCGATGACTGCCCAATGACTTACACTTTAGTCGGTTACGTTTTTTCGGTCCCATATTGTTCGTGAACAATGAACTCACTACATTCATATTTTAGTTATGATCGAAATACAAAAGAAAAATATATTGCAGTTACATAAAAAATGGCCTTGAAAAACAGTTAGTACTGTAATAATAATTTTTTGACCAAAATGTATTAACATAAATATGTACAAACATTTATCTTTCTCTTGAACTTGGAGTTGTCACTTGGGCATCAGAGTGCGATTTTTTTAGCAACGTTTTTAGCGTTCCGTACCCGAAGGGTTAAAACCTATTACTAAGACTTCGCTGTCTGTCTCTCCGTCTGTCACTAGGCAGTACGTCATGAACCGTGATAATTAAAGAATTAGAAAAAGAATAAAGGAATATCTAAGAGGGGCTCCATACAACAGACATGACGTTTTTTTTCTTTTATTTTTTTTTTGCAGTTTTTTTTAGATAATGTTACGGAACCCTTCGCGCGCGAGTCCAACTAGCACTTGGTCGGTTTTTTGTACTTTTTACGAATCCATTGACGATAGTAATACGGCCTTTTACATGTATCGATAACTTATTTTTATGACTTTTTTCGTGCAAAAATGACAATTGCACCTTGTATACGCTTACACGATCTATGACATTTTGGATAGGATTAGCCATTTCTGGCGTCCAACCTTGGCTTTTTAACAGCTTATCTTGTGTTGTGTTCACGTAACTTCCATGATTGAACAAAAAGAAAACATGGCAACTTGTGATATTAAAGCTTATTTCACACATCGTCGAATGGAGCGCGGTACCGCCTTTCGCCTCCGGATAATAGGATTTGTTTTGCGCTGGGACAAGCAATTGTATAAGCCAAAGATAACGGTTCTGCATCTGAGTATGCTTATGAACAATGTATCAACGATGCTCAACATCTCTGAAAATGATCTCATATTGGGGCTAAGGAAGCAAAAACAAAAGATTTAGACGAAATTCACACCGGAGTGTGATTAACTCTGAACCTCGAATCAGTAAAAAGACAGTGCAGAGAACACTATTGAGAACATTCAAATTAGTGAAAATTGACGAAGTTGCCCAGTTATCTGTCGATATTCAGAAAATGTAAAGAACCCTATTAATTTTTTAAAACAACTACTATTTTTATTTGAGCACCATAACGTCTTCATAGCCGGCTTCGAGCCGCGTGATTCCCGATTGGCCACACCGTCTGGCATCCGAATATCGAGGTCGCCAATTAGTACTGAGGTTTTCTTTTTTATATTCATCTATTTTATCCTCGACTTGGTGGCTTCGTTTCAGAGTTTTGTTACAACAAAGTTTACGCTACTATGATTACCAATAGTTATAGTGTTTGTACCAATCTTAACCCTTTTAGATTTCTATGAGCATTACGTTATCTAACTTTAATATCGATTTTGGAACTTCGACATATTGTTCGATGGTTGTCTCGTGCTCCCACGAGTCGCGAGTCGAGGATCCCTAGCAGGGATCGCTTGACGTAACAGTCTCAACGAATAGCCGGCGCTCATTCGAACCAACCGTCCGCAGGCTGAGATGCGAGACGCCGCTGTCAGACGAACCGGTTGTCTCGTTACGGCGTGCGCCGCGGCGGTACGCGTTCGCCAATATCGATCGGTACGCGCGAGCGGTTCCACGGAACGTTCGCGAAATGGCCAACCGTAGACTATGGCCACGGCCAGTGTTCGGCGCCACGGGGCGGCCATCGCGTTCTTTCGGCCATGTTGGCGACGCCGACGCCGCCCGTGTCTAGCGGCCGCGTGGCGTCAGGCGCTGTATGCCGGGATGCGTCTAGATCGGCGCGGCTTAGGCTTAAGGTTCGGGTGACGTCACGCGACGGGGGAGGGGAGCGGGGCGAGGGCGCGGGGGTGGGGCGCGTCGCGGCCGCCTGCGCAGGCGCGGGCAGTCGCCGGTCTCCCGCGCACTGCGGTCCGCGCGTGCGCAGCGCCGCGCACGACTCGGCGCGGGCCCAGCGCCAAGGGCCAGGGCCTACTCTACGGCGCGCTCTCGCGGTGTCCGCTACGGTGCGGAGGGACCTTAGTCCAGTTGTGCTGCGGCCTACGAGCGTAGCGCCCCGCCACACGGGATGCTGGCCGATCGCACGACGCAGGTGAGTCTCGTTCGAATTGATTTTAAGGTTCGCCAAGCACGGCCCACGGTTTGGGTCTGTTTAAGCGCCGAGTGCCGTTAGTTAGACTGACTTGCGTCTTTGAGATTGAGACGATAAGGAAATTTCCATCGGGCGCATTTACGTGATACGTCTCGTGAACGCGTCGCGTTTTTCGGCGAAGCAACGCATCCGGGTTCGTGGGTACGCTCGTTCCGCGGCGCCCACGGCGGGCCTTGACCGCCGCGCACCCTCCGTAAAACGCCGCAACTACCGCCGCCGTTAGAAAGTAAGCCGGCCTCTCGACCGCTTAATGAATAACTTGTGAAACGCGCGTCGTTAGCTGTGATTAGCTCATTTTATTGTCGGCGCGCCGTAATCACGCCTCGAGAGAGATTGTTTTTTACGTGCCAACTTTTCCGTTGGCCGGCCTTTTTGTTGGGAGATTGAAATGTCGTTAGTGGCAAATTGTATATAATGTTTGTTCTTTGTAATTCTTCGTGATTAATTGAAGTATTCAGAGAACTGTAGAGAACGTTAAATTAGAAAGGAGAAATGTCATTATGGTAAATGGTCACAGGGTGCATAGAATTTTTTTTTTTAATTTTTAGGATGTAATTTCACAAATGCATCCCGCATTTATTAAATAGACAGTAATCACTTTATTTAATTAATATTAGAATTAACTGTACTTTGTTCTTTTACGAGTAGTCACATTCATATTAACATGAAATGCCAATTTGTCGGAGCTCGTTGATGTCTAATGTTTGGGACGAGGACTGGAGATTGATTAAAATGTTGCTAATTGTATATACTTGCAATTGATACAATAAAAATTTTAATCTAATGTTTTCTGGAGATGAATTCACATCATCTTCGTAGAAAGCGCGTAGGCAATCGCTACGTATTTCCATTGAAATATATTCTTTCTTTATTAGGTACCGTTACGAATTAATCTTACTACTTTTTGTTACTGTGTCTTTTCTTTTGTCTTCCCTTATACGATCTAAGCGAGGTTGTCACAGCATGTGAATCATGTTGATAATAGTATTGACTTTATTATTTACCCTCCTTGAGAGTAAACACTCAAATCTTCTTCTTCTTTCTCCTACTGTAAGTTAAGTTCGGACATGTTGGTGAGTTCAGCACAACATGAATCATTTTATCAATAGTATTTACTTAGTTTTACCCTCCGTGGAAGTAAGCACCTAGATCTTCTCCTTTCTCTTGTCGCAAGTTAAGGTTGAATATCTTGGTGAGTTCGGCAGAACACGTGAATCACGTTGTTAATAGTATTTACTTTGGTTTTTACGGTCCGTTAGACGGTTAAACACCCCTAAGGGCAGGAGAAAAGAGAAGAAGATTTTCTTTTCTTTGCCTTTAGGTAAGGTGGGTAAATACAACATGCGAATCATGTTGTCAATCGGTGTAGCTACGTTTTATACGAGCCACCTGCCTTATGACAAACGTCCTTGGGAGTAACACCCAGATCCGGAACTATTATCTCTTCGCCACACAAATTATTTGTCCCGTTTGAGAATCGAACCCACGAAGCCAATAGCTTAGCAACTGCTTCACCGAGCTATTCACCATATAACGATTTTAAATTAAGCTGGAAATTATTTCTGCGCACTTACTTATCTACGATAGTGGTAAGAGTTTAGTCAACCATGAAAGAACAAAGATTACGAGCGATTTATTTTAGATATTTTTGTATAATAGCAACAATGGACAAAGCAATAATAATAATAATAATAAAATATCTTTATTCACATAGACGCTTGCGCGTTCTTATGAAACGTCAAAATTTTACAAGAAATTAACACGTTCGTAAGTTACCACCGGTTCGGAAAGCAGTTTCTGTTGAGAAGAAACCGGCAAGAAACTCAACAGTTGCTCTTTTTTAAAAAAATCAGTTTACAATATAATAGTACAGGTACAATAGTCTTGTTTTAGCCTACGTGAGTATCAACAGTATTAACCCCACACATTGGCGTCGTCAAGATATTCAGCAATAGTATAATAGGCTTTAGCCATAAGTGTACTTTTAAGTTTTCGTTTAAATTCATCAAGTGGCAGACTTAACATCGACTGTGGGATTTTATTATACATGCGCACACTTTGCCCCATGAACGATCTGTTTACTTTTTGTAGGCGAAATAATGGCGTAGTTAGTTTGTCCTTATTTCTAGTATTTAGTTTATGTCTGTCACTATTCTTTTGATAATTATTAATATTCTGTTTAACATACAAAATATTACAATAAATATATTGAGACGCAACAGTGAGTATATTAATCTCTTTAAAAAGATCTCTGAGTGTATTCCGGGCTCCGATGTTATAAATTGCTCCGACAGCTCTTTTTTGAATAATAAATATTGAATTTATATCAGATGCAATGCAATTTAGGTGATAACTAAATGAATCTATACTTACGGATTTATCGCGTTTATTTTTAATTTTATTTCCCGACGTTTAGCTTTTTAGAATCAGTCTGAATGTCGTTGTTAGCCCAGACCAGTTATCATTTATATAAAGGTTTATTACTTTTTGTGATCTATGTTTTTCAGTAAACATTTTTCATTTTGTTGTGAGTATTATATATTTGGAATAGTATATATTATATTTGGAATAGTTATTTCTATACTCAAGTTAGCTTCAACGTCTTTACGACATTGAGGGAATTTACCTTTTCTAACTACCTAACGTCAGTGTAAAGCAGCTGTGACAATTTAATTAAATGATAAATACACCTAACTCACAGTTTCTTGGTATTTTATATTCAATCTAATTTATTTTGGTCACAAAACTAATAAGGAACTAAGTTGTTAGTAGATTTATGCTATTCGGTATTTTGCATAACGAGTAAACGCGAAGTGCTGTTTTATTCTTCGTCTGAATAAAACTAGTTACAAGGAAAATCTGGTTGAGTCATTTACACGTCATCGTATTGCGTACCTATATCCTTATGTGACTTTATAGGTCGGCCAGTGGTCGAAATTCGACCATAATTAATTATACATGGTAGTATGTGCAATGTTTTTTTTATTGATTTAGTACATTATTTTTTGTACATAATTAAAAAAATATTAGCAATCGGCACTCCTTCTCTATATAAAGTATAAGTGTGGGAATTTTCATACTCCTCCGTTCGCGCAATTTTCGTTTTTGCTTCACGTACAATATAAAAATAATTTAGACATTATAAATTTTTTTTCTGCAATTCTGTAAGACATATTTATGCAACAGATAAGATGATGCGAGCAAAAATTATTCATAATGGTTACAGAATAAAAAGTTCGATTATTACGAAAAATTGTTTTTTCAAACTCACGTTTTCTTCGAGTCAGCTTATTGCATATCGCAAGTGTGTTTAGACTGCATGGAGTACTTACTACATGGAGTTATTAATAATGGCACGGGGATGCATATTTATTTATCAAAAGGTATTGAGTAACTACTTTTTATGCATATTTACTACATAACCGATAATAATAATTGTACATTTGATTTTCATTGAAGGTGATATTTTATGAAAATATTTCTTGAACGTTTTTTCATTTATCCTATATACATATATCAGTATATATATATATATCAGTCGCTATATATTATATCTAATATCTGAATGCCTCCAACTCCTCAAACTTCTGCTTAGATGTCATACTTCGCTATGTTGATTTCATAAAAAAAACTTCTTTTCTTTAAAATTTCAAAAGCTATATTCGGTGTTGCTTTTTAAAAACTGATTTATTAAAATGTTTTATTAAAATTTTATGAGTAAATCTTGATTTGTGGCTATGCTATCGGAACCTTGCATCCTATGGTCGTATGGCATACCCATTTCGTCGTCAGCATAATTTAAAACGATCGATTAGTCATAGTTTATGATTTCTTGATTTTTCAGAAAATCTTACATTTATATGCACTGTAGCAATTTACTACTACAATGCATTTTTTTTAAATACATACGTACCTACTATACCATTTAAATATTATTTATAATGTAACAATATCTCTTCAAAACATTATAATATAAAAATTAGACCTAATAAAATTAGACCTAATAAACCTATAAAAATAACGTATGGTCAGACAAACAAAATATTATTGAAAGTAAACAATTAGGGTGCAGACTATATACAAACCCGAAGAGCTACATGATTCAAAGGTTTTGGTGTAACTAACTTTTATTTTTAATTTGCGTTGATGTTTCCGTCGCTTGAATTCTAAACGCACCATTCGAATTCCCTTCTCAACTCGACTCAAAAACACCGATACGTCTGTACCACTAGCGTAACACTTGACGCATTCTCAACTCGACATTACGACACTTGCACGTTTGCGAAACGCGAAATGGGGCACGAGACATCGTAAATCTCCCGATTAATGCGAAATTGACGGGGATTACCGTAAAGTGCCAACGTGTCGACACCGACCACCTTACGGCTGCACTCAAAGTGCAATCCGGCGGTGTCGTGTCGTAACTTGGACCGTTTAATAACATCTGGTCCCCTCGGTGACCCACAGCGTTTAAAAACTGGGACAGATTATGCTTAAACGTCAAACGATTGGCAATCGCCTCGCAACTTAATACGTAACCATTATCAGAGTCTGTTGCAATTGGGAGCTTTTTAATACAGTGAATTACGTGTACGTGTTTTTTTACCTTTTTTTAAGGACTTGGCCTTATGACACGCCAGAATATAAGTGGTCATTTAGAAGTATGATAAACACAAGAACTCGGTAAAACCTATTTGATTATGTCTTGAAACCACAAAATTTTTCTTTGAGTGTCCCGGAAATTTGCTTAGCATTTTTTTTAGTTTATTATAGTTACGAAGCAAAATAAGACCATGATAAGAATCTTATATTTTGTGTGAATTAAACTCAATACGTTTTTCCTTAGAGAAAATTTCGTATCCGTACATCAAGATAACGACAACAAGTGATTAAGTCGAAAAAGCAACGTCCCGTTACTCTATTGTTTGAAGTCTGTAATA